ATAAACATTTATAACAATTATAATATTAATTTTAAAATATAGATATAGATACTTAAAAAAAAACCGTTTTTTCCAATAACATCAAAGAGTAATATTATCACTGAATTAATAAAAAGATTTTTGTATTGAGCTTAACAATGTTTTTTTTTAATCATTCCTTTTTATAACAAGTTATTATAAAAAATTGTAAAAATTGTAAAATTGTGCACTGATCAAAACGACTTAACAGAACGACGAACAGAAGAGAATTAACCTACATAAAGATGAATTCATGAGAAATTAAGCAATAAACATTTACCTTCGTTTTTCTGTATATATGTAATGTCCAATCGTTTTACTTATGCAATATCGTTTACGTGAGACAACAGCTTAAGCATATAATTTCATAAAAACTTCAAAAAAAGTTGGTGATAAACTTGATTTTCTCTTTCAATTAAAATGTTAGTATCGTTCTTTTTTTTCTAACACGAAAAGGAAAAGAGGAAATATAGGAATCGTATAAGAGAGAAGTTTATCTAAAAAACAAATTTAAATTAGTATCGCTACAATACTATCGACATGAGCACTTTGTATCAATATTTTTAATTTCTGCGATAATATATTACTTTATTGATATTTGATTAAGCAAATTAACTATATACAGAGTATCTCATACAATTATACATTATTTATATGCAAATAGAACAGTTAAGCGGAGCAGAAAAGTCTTGTACCATTTTTGTTATTTATTAGTTATAATAAATTATTATTTAATAAAAATTATTTAATAAATGCATATCCATCTGATCTATCAGCAAATACAAGCACATAACAAAATATGATTGTCTATTGTTATATGCGTGCGCAGTACGCACGGCAAAATGTTTGGGTGTGTGGTCTACAAATGATAGAATTTTGTTTCTAATGCACATCTCTATTTTTTAGATCATATTCAAACATCTTGCCGCATGTTTAACAATTGTGAACGTTGTGCGTAACGTTGGGTCTCTTTGAGTGAAGAAGATATATTGCGGATTTATAAATTAACAATTATTTAAAAAACAAACATAACAATAAGAAGCATAGAAGTTAAAGATCTAAGTGCGAACGATATTTAATACGTAAAACATATAACAAATAAAAATATATTAATATAAATATAAATATAATAGACAAGTATGTAATAGATGTTTTGATCTTAGGTCATCTTCGGTATTACGTACGTGATATTATGGAATCATAAAAAAACAACATGGCGGTATTTAAATATATAAAATAAAATAAATATAAATAAAATTAAAATTAAAAGTTTGATTGTCAGATTTCACAAATACAAAAGTGTTTTTTTTTTAATAACATTGTGTTAGAATTTTTTAATGTGCATACAAAATTCGACATTTCAAATAGACGTATGTGTCAAAGATACAACTGCGCTGTCCGTCACATAGATAATGATGTCTATGGTAAAAATTGATATGATCATTCCGAAAAAGTTATTAATAAATCTTAATCGTTATTTTAATATCATTAAAATACAACAAACAAGACAAATTGAAACAAAATGTTATTGTTTAATATAAATCTTTGTATAACTTAATGTCATAAATTTAATACAAATGGTCATTTTAATAAAAAGGAAAAAATTGTAGTACCTGTAATTTCACACTGAACAGAGAGAAGATGAACATTTAGACCGCAAACACTTGCAACAGTGGTCACTGTTAAACGAAATAACGATATAAGAAAGAACAACCGAGTATATAGAATATAGAGAATAAATGGATGTGAGAAAAACGTGCAGGAAGTGCACGTAAGAGGAGAGAGAGGGAGAAGGAAAAAATTATAGGAAAATAAATGTGGAAAACAGGTTTGATGAACAGGTTTGATGACAGGTTTGATTGACAAAAAAATAGTTACTACAAAAGATCCGTTTTGCTTTAATCCTTATTGTTGTCTTTTTATATGTATTATTACAGATGTAATTCTTTTATTCAATAATGAGGGATTTCAAGGATTTCAACATTCTGTCTCAGTTAAAGTCATGATTCTTTTTTAACCCATGGCTCGAGATTACAAAAGGAGAACATCTAAATTTTTTTATGTCGACGCAGTATTTCTTGATCCTTGATCCTTTTCAATTGTCTTTTTGTTTGGCCTCACAAAGGTCGCTTTACAGTTTTTGCAACTGATCTTATACACAACATCACAGCTCAATAACGGATCTTTGTTTGTTGTTATGTATTTGTTAAGAAAATTTGTTACTGAAACGCTAACTTAAAGTTGTGTTTTTATGTTATGTTTCTACATTTGTATGACACATTCTTCACGTAGGATACTGTGAAGAATGGTTTACAGGCAGATGTACTAAAGTCTCTACATTCATCAGAAGTCCTTCGAGACAGATGTTTAGTGCGATTTTTGATAGTCGAAAAAATAAATTCAAAAGGATAACTATTATTTAATAAAATGTTGATGATCTTTTATAAGTTTTTTGCATGAAATCGGGGGTAAAATAATAACATTTTGTCAAACAAACCTATCATGATGCTCCTTTTATGTTTAATAGATGTTACAAGAAAAAACCCAAATATTTTCTAGAATTAATGGATTTTTTGTAAAGATTAAAGATTATTCTTTCCTCAACAACAATCAATAGGACATTGAGAAAACTAATGCATTGGTTTGCACTAATCTCCATGATAAATTGTAATTTGTCATGAAAACAGTTAAAGTTTTCTAAGATGCTATCTTATTTTTATAAGCTTTTCATATATTATATTCTAGGCCAAAGTAATTCGTTATTCATACTCATACACACTTTTAGGGAATATAACATTCCTTTAAACAAAAATCAGTTATTTTCTTTTAAAATAAATATCATTCAAATCATAAAAAATTATTTAAGCAAAAATTGAATGGTTTCAAGAATACACTATAATAATAAAAACTTTAAAATTTTTATAATTTTTTATTTTGTTAACATATCACTTTCCTCAAAATTTTAAAAATTTATTTTTAAAAATTTATTTTTAAATGAAAGATTATGTTAATGCAAATTCGACTATATGTAATAAAATTATTTTTTAAAATTATTTTTTGAGAAGTTACGTTTTTTATATGCATAATATTCATATAACTCATCTATATGCTCAACTCTTCATGCAGCATGTTTATATTTTTTCGTAATAGAAGATGACAACAGAGACAGAAATATTTGAGGATATTTTGTATGATTGAGTAATACAGAGAAAGAAAGAAGAATAATTAAAAAGGTTTTTTAAAAAGGTATTGCAAATTGCTATTAATTTTTTTTAAAACAATACTTTTTAAGATAATACTTTCTTTATACTAATTAATTTATCTCATTATTCTATTAACAAAAATATTAAGATACGACTATCAAAAAATGAATAGTTCATGAGATATTTTATATCTCTTGTCATAAAATATCTCGTAAACTATTGAGGTTTCACATTTGGTACTTTAACACTTTTATATTTAAAATAAGAAGGATTATATTAAAAAAGTCAGAAAAAATATACCCATTTAAAAAATTCATAAAAATCATAAAAATTCATAAAAATTCTCGCTATTTGAAAAAGAATTAATATCATAACCATATGGCTCCCCTATGACTTGTGTTCGAAACTTTTTTTAAAATTGCATTATTTATAAATATTTGATATTTGATATTATATTCAAATTTTTTATGCATCTTGTATATATAAACTATAAAATTACTTTTTTTTTAAAAAAAGGTAAACAAAGGGTGTCAAGTATAGTGGATATTGCCAACTCAAATTATTGTGTAAAATTTATATAAAAGATTTGATATCAATAATTGGCGCCAAGTTATAGTCTTACAAACATGAAACTACAAGTCCATTTTAGTCAAATTATATATTTCAATCGTATAAAAGATTTGATAAACCACTGTTTTAAAAAAATAAAACTCAAGTAGTAGTTTCTTTAATTTAAAAATAATAAAAATCAAATTATATGTATATCTTTCTATCCATTAAAACTTCTTTTTCTAACCCAAGTGGTAGTAATTATTTAGCTTTAAAATATTTTTATATTCACAAAATTGCTTTACTCAATTTACGTTTTTATTACAAAGAATTATAAAGTAACAGTATAAAATAAATGATAAAATTATTTAATAAAAAAAATTTTTATGTAAAACACTTAGGCGCTGCTCATACCTCTAAAAAGAATATGAATAAGATGTGTGTGTGTGTGTGTGTGTGTGTGTGTGTGTGTGTGTGTGTGTGTGTGTGTGTGTCGTAGACGT